TGATAGCCAGGCCTGTAGCCATTTCTTTGGCCAATTCCATCGCCAAGTTGTCGTCGAATGGGAATGATCTGAGGTCCTCCCTTGTTAGAGGAAAGTTCCAAAGATTGTCCGACCTGCACAACGGTTCGTCCTTGCGTGTTGCCAGTCCAAGATATGGTCGCACAAGACAAAAGTCGTTCTCGGAATTGGCGAATACCGCTGCCTTGGATGTAGTGAACTCGTAGCGCGTTATCAGGGCTTGTCGAACCTCAGGGCCTATTGTAGGGATAAGGGACAAGGAGAACAGGAACGGTGCCGTCTTCTTGTCTTCGGCTTCCGTGAAACAGTCAGCGAATTGTGCCCAAAAGTCTTCTTTAGCTTCATCTGCTATCCAGCCCTTGATAGCTGGTACCCTGGGAGTGTAATCTTTGATTTTCCAGTCGCGTTCTGACTCCGTCAACGACCGATGTACGTGAGCCGTCAGCCGTATATCATTCCATAGTGCGTCTCGATCCCGACCAATCTTGTATGCAGCCGTGGAGAGATCCACGCAGGTGTAGATAGTGCCGCATGTGCCGCGACCGATAACGTGGAGGTCTATGGGGTTGTCGTCTAATGCGCGCGCCGGGCTTGTTTGGAAACCATCTCGAGGATTATCGCTCGCGTGTTCGTGCTCTGCTTGCGCCATGGTGGCAGCTCTGCGAGGAGAATAGGTGGTCTAGATTGCTATTGGAGTATCTGCAAAGTTTACGTTGTATTCTTCAACAGATGCGATACAGTTGCTGGATACTAGCCAGGCGCAGTTGACTCAGAGGGCGAGCCATGGTTCGTTCTAGCATTATTCTCCATTCCGAGCGTGTCTATTGGAGCGCGCGCAGACATTTGCATCTGTCGTGCTAGAGTGGATGTACAGGGTCGTCAAGTTGCGATAGCTTGCGTGTATGGAGCCCGCATCTGTCGGAGGGTGCCAGGCGTTTATCGTGGCCATGTTCGCGCTCGCATGCGCGTGGATCAGTCCGCGTTCTGGGGCCGTGCATAGGCTAGACTAGAAGCGTCTTGCACATGACTATGTGACAACGATGACGCCATCTCAGAACCTGCCACTTTCTAAGCGCGGCGAATGTCTGTCATGGTGCAGGTTTGCATCGCTGTTCTACACGTGTTGGTTATCCCTCGATTAGGATCAACAGATAGTTTTGTACGATGTAAATTACAGCTCCTTGCATTGCGCTCGGTGCATCGAGAAACATCGAGGCTCGTACATCGTGAGCGTACAGGTTTTACATACATCTTCTGCACCTCTCATGCGTGCTTCTACTGCATCATCCGCAAGCCCTATAGCACCTTTTTATTCCTCCACGAAGAACCTAGCCGCAAAAACGACATCGTTCTCACTGAACACTCCCTGCCTCTCACTCTTCACCTGCCTTAGAATGCCTTGTTTGTTCTTCTTGTCCTTGCTCTCCGCGTACGCGATGACACAATCCCGGTTCAGCGATGGGTTGCTGTTCGTCTTCAGACGTGTGGGACTGCGAGGCTCCTTCGGTAAGGTGCGGTGGAGGTTCTTGCGTTTCTTCGTAGCCGAGGATTGAGGTGTAGAGGGTTCGTGGCGCGTAAGTTGAGGTGTCGTCAGAGTTGAAGTGAGCTTCACTGGGGACGGGGTTTCATTGCCGCGACGTGATTCGCGCAAGCTTTTGCGTTCCGATGAGCCATCCGCTTGCGGAATAGGTGCAGGAGACGATCTAATAGATGCTTGAGGTGACCGGGTATGTGAAATGGGCTCCATATCAGGCTCAGGAGTTGTATGTAGGCTGGATAGAGGGGAAGATGTAGCAGTGTCCCAGATCTTAGAGTTCTGGACGACCGGTATCGCGATCTTGGACGATGGAGCTGCGTCAGGCGTGTTTCTCGGTTTGGCGAAAGAGCGAGATCGACGTAGTCGCGCAGATGCTTCACGAAGTATCTCTTCTGGATCCTCGAACCAGAATGGATTTGCCTTTGGGCCTTGTACACCAAGAATGTTGTTGCTAGAAGTTGTACGACGCGAGAGTCTTGATTCGGTTGCATGTATACTCTGGTTGCTTGAGTCAGCATCCAGCTGGTCACCATGCAGCTTGACCTCCTCTACTTCAGGTCGTTCACCCGTTAGGATGGAGTTCTTGACAGTAGATCCGGGTTGTTTAAACACAACATTCGGTTGGAAAGCGCTGGTCTCTTGTGGGTTGTCGATAGCGAGGGGCAGGTCAGTCTTCGCGTGCTCTAATGGCGATGTAGGCGGCGGCGTTCCCATCCGGACTGTACTTTTCCTTGACCCGCGAAATTCGGTGCTTGCCTTCTCTGAATCAATAGATCTCTTCTGTTCATCATCTCCTGGGACGATATCCTGTCGAGTCGGATTCTGGACGGGGCGATTGGAAGCCAAGTCTAAACGCAGTTCAGGCTCCCACCTATGATCCACTATAATTGATCTATCTTGCCCATAGACTACCAAGCGTCTGACCACGATGTTGGAATCTGTCTTCATCGACTGTTTTGGAGGAGATGCTTTCTTCGGAGAGACACTTCGTTTTGGCTTTGTAGGTACTGAGTACAAACCTGCTGGCGGTAACGGCAGGGACAGTCTGCGATCAAACGGCGGAAATGACAGGCGTGGTGGCCGAGATTCCTGATATCCATGGAGGTTTGCGACTTGTGGTAACATGTTTGGCTTGTAGCTCTCGGGAGCTCCGCAGAAGTTGGGCCCCATACCGGACATGGTGTAGTCTCGACGCGTGTATTGGCTTTCGGGTAAGCCACCACGTGGTTCTCCAGGCAGAGAACCCGCATGCGGCCTATGACTTGAGGGTGTTTGCCTGAGCCCTGGTAAATGTGTAGGAAAAGGTGATGCGTACTGGTAACCTGGGCCCTGAAAAGCCGTGGGAAAGCGATCGAGCGGACTAGACGTCAGGCCGGCGTTGTCGCCCGGTATCTGACGCATGAGATCACTGGGTGCGACTCCTCCCAGTGTTGGATCCGAGAATTGAAAGGTATATGGTGATGGGAGCATGTGAGTCGTTTGCGAGTTTGGGGTCAGATCTGGATTCATCATCTTCGGAGTGAACCCTGCACACGACGTGAGCTCCGCTTCTGAGATGCGTACTGCGTCGTGCGTATGCGCTCGTCCAGTCTCCGGTGCACGCGGTATGTTGGAGGTATTTGCACTTCTTCGAACTGGTGAAGACGTAATTTTTGCATCTGTAGTATTTGGTGCTATCAGTGCTGGAATGCTTGATCCGACACCGGCGAGTGGTGGACTTGACAGCGTCAAGGGTTCCATGGTTAGAGCTGATGGCAAGACAGGTGACATATCCTGCTTCGACTGCACTCCAGACCGGAGAGCCTGTCTCTTTGTATGAGACCCATACTCTGGATCGCTGTCTCCTTCTGCATCCACGTCGATGACCTCTGAGGTCGGCTCCATGGTATCTTGAGGTTCCGCGTCACTCTCACTCTTACCAGGCGCATCGACACGTAGATGCATAGTACTGCCGTCGGCTCCGAGCACGAACGGGTAACTCTCGTCGATCATGCGCTTCGGTGCCTTTAGATAGCCCACGCCGCTAGTGAGCTTCCTACCCTCTCCAGATGTGATGACTACGTCGATGACCCCGAAAGTCTTTCCATCTGGCCTCTGCATAGTGTATACCTGCTCCGGCATCTGCGTTGTCGCAAGCGCGTGGAGGAAGTCGGCAGTAGGAGGAATGTTGCCTTGTTCGTCGGTACCCCGCTCGCGTACTTCAGCTTGGAGCGCCTGGCCAATGTGTTGCCATCGCTGTTCTACCGAAGGTGGTGTGTTGTTCTTCGCAGTACTGCCATCTGCGGCGACTCCGGGTGGTAGGATGATCCATGGCCGCTCAGCGAGAAAGTCGACTCTAGTGCCCGCGAAGACCTGGTGATGGTCTTTCGAGCCAGATTTGCCGTCGTAGTTGGGCATGGCCAAACATGCGGCGAGTGTTCCATTGAAGAAGACTTCGATCTTGAGCGATGTTCTCTGGTTGTAGAGGCCGGAGACATAGGTCTGGTCGGAGAGGTTGACGTGGAGGGTAAGTGCTTTCAGTGTGAGCTGCGAGACATCTGAGAAGCTATCGTTAGCCGCGGTGGTGCTATTAGTATTAGGCAGAAGGTATGCACCCTTCGGCGCATCCTGTGCGTCCCCAGGAGCTTCCTCTTCGTATATGTCACTCCCGACCCGGGTCTGCATGAAAGGCGCTTTTGCGAGCCAGTTGAGCTGGAAGGCGGCGTCATCACCAGGGAAAGGCACCTGCTCTTCCTTCAATAGCTTGCTCCTCAACAGCCTCTTTTCAGCTAATGCAGACTGCTGCTTGGCTGCCTCTCCCTTTCTCAGTATGATCTTTGCTGTAGTCGTATCACCGAGCGAAATCGCGCCCAGGCGCACCGAGACGCCACGAGCGAAGTAGGTAGGCATATTTGCAGGTGAAAGAATATACACGTATTATGACATGGCCGTCGCCAGAGGCAATGCCGCACTGCCCGGCAATGGCGTATTCTCGAGTCGGTTGGGTGCGGTAAGGCCGTCTAGAGCGTGTCGAGCATGGTGGGGGTGTATGGGGGACGCGTTGCGGTGACCGAGCGCTGCTGAAATCGCGTGACGTATATCGTGGGCTTCCGTTTCCGGCAGGTACCTTCAGTGCTCTTTCCGCGCACTCGTCCTCACCGCCGTGGCCAGACTTACGTCTATGCAAATTCTACCTGACGTAGAGCAATCTTAAATGTACCCAGGTGTCATGATAGTGGATTTGGCCAAGAGAATATACACGCGATGAATAGAAGTGATAAAGAAGCAAATCGAGCAGCTTTGAGAGAACCCGACGCGCCAGCAGACCATGTAGAGAGAAGACTGAGAGTAATCATCCCAATTGCAATGAGTCTATCCGCACGAGGAGATACTTACACAGAACGCCTAGATTGCGTAGAATTTCGCCTCAAAAGGGTACGCAGCTGACGGCAGCCGATACCGCGCATCAGAGCTCGACTTCACCCCCGGACTCAACGAAGCCTCCGCCGCTTCTTTGCTGCTCGGTGCCATTGACGCCCCAATCGTCGGTAATGATGCCAATCGGTGGACCGCCTAGGACATCGCCTAACTCGCCTATAGTCTTTTCGTACACACTCGCAACACCGCGCTCTTCCCAGTCCTCATCTTCCTCATCGTCGTCATTGTCCTCGAAGCCTTCAAAGGTCACAGTGCCTTGACGTCCACCTGCTTCTGCCTCTCCCTCCGTGTCCGTGCCCGTGTCCATGGCCTCGCCCACGTCTTCCCCGTCACTGACCACGCTGTCTCCACTCAGTACACGGGCGACCGTGAGCCTGGTCCGGTCTACAACGCCCTTCAAGCGAACCTTGTCTGTTGTGGTGACTGTACGACCATTCTCAAACCCAGGTAAGAACTCTCCGGTCGCAGTGTCGTGCCCGGTAAGTAGGGATGAGAAGGCGTAGTCGAGTTTTGAGAGCAGACGGAAAGTAGCCTGAGCGGAACGCGTTGAGGAACCAAATAGCGGGAGAAAGTCGGCGGTGAGGACGGCGAGGTTGAGCAGATATGGTATCTGGAGGTTCGGTGATCCGGATACCCAGACAACATCTACCAGACCATCGAGATCTTTTGCGACTTCCCAGAACGCCTTATATCCGTCCTCCTCGCCCGGCGCCGGCTTGAGCTTTCGGTTCGTCATGCGATTGTCCACTCGCTTCTGGATGCTGTTGACGCCGTGGTCGAGGTAACGTATCAGATCAGATTCCCTTAGGCCGCCGGGCTTCAGCGGGTGTTTGCGTGCTTGTGGGAGGGGCGACGCGTGCTGTGACGGCGCAGATGACGCTGGAGGAGTAGGGATTTCGGCCATACTAAACACCCTGGAGCCTGCGTTGACGTTAGATCGCCTACTTTGCATACTTTCATCTTGATATAGGCTACAAACCTGTTTGATTAATGTAGGTTGTAGACCTTTCCAACTTTTCTGGTGTATAAGACGATGGTGTGTCTATGGTTCCAGGGTGTTGTTCACTGTCACGGTGGTAGGTGAACACGCAAGGTAGTGGGCGAGGGGTGAGGTGCAACCGTCATTCTACGCCGTGGGGTGAGCGCGTTCTTTTTCGTCGCGTGCGCAATCGACCCGCGTCGTGTCTTTTGAGTTGAGAAGTTGCACTGGTGCTGCGATACCTGAGCGTGGAGCTCCTGATGGCGAGATGACGTTCGCGGAAGGTTCCTCCGTCATCCCAGCCCGTGCCCTGGATCATCCCGCAACACCACCTGCATCGACAGCAGAGCATCACCCAATTGTCGCCAAACCTCCGGCACCGCATCTACCTCTGCCGTTGCTTACCATCAATCTGTTGGTGGGCTTTGTTTTGTCATCAGGTACTCCTATCGCCGGAGAACCTGTAGTAGCTGAGGCAACGACAGTCACGCTCACGGCTTTTCCAACGGACACAGGATACGTTTCCGCTAGGAATGCGATATGACGGAAAACTTGCATGCTTCGGAATAGCATGCCATCGGAGTTCAGCTGCTATGCCGTGCATCTCACAGCAAAGTAAGCCGCTGCCGCCATCGGCCCGTCCTGAGTGGCCAGGAGCAAGACAAGGGCGCTGATTAATCACCAGCGCGCCCTTCTCCAACGCGTGCGCGTGCGCCCTACATGCAAGTTTCATACGTCCGCGACGCCGATATGCATACCTAATTAAGCCGCCAACAGTCAACCATGTCAGTATACTTGTGATGGTCCACCAGGCGCGGCCCCTTTTCTAGAAGTTTTCTTAGCTGCAAGAAAGGGAAAATTTGCTAACACACCCAACTTCGGAGTGCCCCGATTGTTGGATGAGGTTGAAACGCGACGTTTATTGACTCTACCACTTAACGGCATAACGTTGAAAATTTGCAATGAAGCCTATGACAAAAGGTATCCACCCGTCGTGTACTTTCAGCGCGAGTAGTCAGGAACGTGTCGCGCTTGTTCAACTTTTGTGGCATGAGAACCTGTAGGGCTGGTTTGAGGCACATATCTGACCGCCAGAGTACCGCTATGGTTGGTGGGCGGGCCGCAAGCTAGCACGTTCGCGACGGGCAAGATCACAGAACCTGAGAAAAGCACATTCGAGACCATGTAACTTGTGGAGACGTCCTGATGTCGTCCAGTACTCAGCTTTGCGGAAATGTAGAGACAGGCACCTGTATAGGATTAGCGCGCGACGCTATTGGAGTCAAGGGCGTGGTTTGTGATGGATGCAGGATGACTCCCCCGCGTATCCGACGGCAAAGCAAGCCCATCGCTCAGCGCATCATCCATCTGCAGCCTGCAACCTTCTCATCACCTACCAGCCCTAGTTTTGTGCCGCTTGCAAATGACTCAACCCAGGGCGTGCCTGAGTGCCATGTATAAGATAGCCTTAAGGCCCACTTGTTTGCAGTGCAGACCTGGAGCAGACGTCTTATCTTCACTCGCCACCGACTAGTCTGATCTCTGCCTATTCGCACTACCCCAGCTGCCCAGCTCTCAGCTTCTCCGCATTCGAGACGTCTTATCTGAGCAGGATTGTTCCCCGCTTTCTGTTGTGACCTTGCCTTGGCTATTGCGACTAGCAAGCCGACCTTAAGGCACGCGACAGCATCGACATGTCTTCTTCATCGAACACATCAGTGTTTGCGCCACCAGACAGGATGCAGGCGCTGGGCAATCAAATCGGCTACAAGGTCCGCAACATCTCGCATCATGGCCAGCCTACCATCGTGATCGATCTCAACGACAGCAATGGCCACTGCCACAAGTTCATCACAAGCTATTCTTCCATGGATACTATCGAGGGCACAGTCACCATCACTGCGCCACACGACACTCGTTTTGAGGATATCGACATCGCATTCACTGGTAAGCATAGATCATATACGAACTTAGCAATCATCGTATCTGACACTACACAGGTACAAGCCAGGTATATGTGGATAGGATGACGACTACGCCAACAATGACAGGACGAACAGAGGCAAAGCATCGGTTTTTGACTCTTAGACAGCCAATAGACCAATCAAACTTCCCCTCCCCAAGAATCTTTGAAGCTGGAAGACCCTACAAGTTTCCCTTCACATTTACCATCCCTTCGCAACTACTACCAAAAGCCTGCTCGCATACAGTAGTCTCGGATCACATACGCGACGTACATCTCTCACTACCACCCAGCATTGGCGATCCCGACCTTGCTGGTTTTGGCAGTACACTGCTTGATGACCTTGCGCCGGAAATGTCAAAGATCACCTACGGAATCCAAGTCAAAATCGCGCACACTCGCGGATCAGAAGGTATCTCGGTGCTTGCTGAGAAGCTGAAGAAAGTGCGCGTGAAGCCAGCCTTTGCAGAGCAGCCCCCGCTGAACATCGATCATAACGACGAGTACCGATCGCGACAGGAAAAGACAGTCAAGAAGGGTTTGTTCAAAGGAAAGCTCGGGACGTTGTCTGCAAAGACTATCCAGCCGCCACCTCTTGTCATTCCGGGCGCAAGATCAACGGAGGGCAGAACGATCACGACTATGGCGAAGTTAGTTCTCCGTTTTGATCCCACAGAGGAGACCAGCGCACCACCGAAACTCGGTTCACTCGGAACAAAGATGAAGGTCGTGACCTACTACGCCTCAGCTCCTAGGCAGAATCTACCAACGCGGTCTACGCTCGGGTTCGATCTGTCGCAAGGCCTGTACTCCGAGTACGTGCCGCTGTCCAATCTTTGCATCGCCTCCGCCCAGTGGGAAAAGCACGATGCGGCACAAAACCCTAGTCCAGAAAGCCTAGTTCGACGCGACTCTGGTATTAGCGATTGCTCAACTCTGAGCGAAGCGGAGAAGGCCTTCGCGATTGGCATCCTACCTGCATCCAAGGATTACAAGCAAGGTGCCTTCTACACAGCGCAGATCTTGGTGCCAATCACCCTTCCCATGACACAAAACTTCATACCGACATTCCATTCCTGCCTCATCTCACGAACATACACCCTCGCGCTGCAATTCTCCGCCCACGGAAGCTCCAGTATGCATCTCAAGGTTCCGATCCAAATCTGCGCCGAAGGCAGTGATACTGGTATTGAGAATGCTAGGGCGAGGAGTGTCGAGGAGACGGCATTCAGAGCTGCCTCTGATGTCTTTGCTCCGCGCAGTGTTGCGCCTCCAAGCCCTGAGACGACTCGCAGCGCGAGTGTTGGAACGCGAGAAGAGATGCCGCCCGGCTATTCGGCTTTTGCGCCGCCCAGCACGAGGTACAGCGTGAGCCATTCTATCGTGACCTGAAGGTGTTCCAAGTTGTCACGGAAGCATCAGTGATGAGATTGAGATGACTTTGTTGCGCAACAAATTTACTATTATCGAGCGATGTTTTTCTTGGAGAAGGATCTTGCTTCTAGGCGTTTTGGTATGGAAGGGAAGAGTGGCAGGGTTTGCTTTCATCGCACCGCAGCTCATGCTCTCTTCGAGTCGCCCTCTCCTATCGTTAGATCGCTCACCAGATACCCATACATATAGTAATGAACTTAATACGTTGTCATTTTCATGCTAGTTGCATGCTCTGGTCTTGTCCGTTTCTTAAGGTGGTGTCATCGTGTCTTGGCACGTCCGTGCTGGCCCTGGGCAGCTTCCCAATCATTTGAACCTGTGGCACCACATCAGCACACCATCACTCACGAGCATCGCTTCTCATCAAACCAACGTGAAGAAACAATGGCCGAGCATCCGTCTTTTACATTGGCAGGCTTGTGTAAGTGTTACAACGCCATTTGCGTGTCTGCGTGTATGAGAGCTGACTGAGAAATGATGTGCAGTGGCGGTCGGAGGAACTGCTGGCTATCTCCGAACACGCTCAACACCAAGCCTTGTCGCTGGAATCGGATTGGGTGCTTCGTACGCTCTTGCTGGTAAGCTGATTAGCCCATAGGACGTGTTTCTGGCTGCATTGAACGTATACAGCTACTTGTGGGCGCTTCAGCTAATCGGCAATCTAAGGCTACCGCATCAAGCAGAACCAGGATTACGGCACTGAACTTGCGCTTGGCAACAGCATCATGTTGATGGGCTCTGCGATACCGCGCATCATGAAGACCGGCGGACGCGCGCCTGTGCCGATCGCTCTGGGTGCGACTGGTGCGCTGGCGACTTACTACTACCAGAAGAAGGTGCGCGAGTTCAGGTATGGTGTCTGAGAAGCATTCAGTCTCTTTGAAAAGAGGGCTATCATTAAACGGCGATTGCGCCTTGTATAACTACTCAGGGTGGCTATATACTACCCTGCTCTACTTTTGAGTATCAATACCCCACTCCCACTCTCTTCTACTGAGTATATCCTTTTCCGCGCCGTTTCTTCATCCCCGATGCCCTCGAGCTTCGGGCTTCGCTGCGCAATCATCATCATACCATCAAGCTGTACCCACGGACCCGGTGCCATCCAGTACCGCATTGTTTGACATATGCCAAAGCAAGACGACAACAGTACAATTGCGAGGACGGCAACGGTTACCCACTCCCAGCCTAGACGCGGACTGGACCCGTACAGTTGCCATTGAATGGGATAGGATACAATCTTATCTTCCGATTGGGAAGGCAGAGACGACGGAAGAGGAGACCAGTACTTGTTGCTCATGCTGAATATGTTCTGGAACAGGATTCCCATGACGATCGACAGGCCCATGGCGTCGGAGTTCACAAGTGGATTGATTGCCTGTAGGTTGCGACTTATCAATAGGAATTGCGGCAGCAATCTTGTCGATGGAACCAATAGCTCAAGCCTCGGCATGACGTCCCGTGCCTGCATACCTACTCCATTGGCAACGTCGAAGTCGCTTGCAGTTGCGCGTTCGTAAACGATGTTCTGGTTCAATTCAGCACCGTAATGGTTAAAGCTAAGGTCGGGACTTTCCCTGTCCACGATCCACACATTGACTGCGTATGATCCATGCCGGAACAAGCTGGAACAAGTGGCGCCGGCAAAGCCTAGGGAAGGGACTGGTCCAAAATCGGTCATGATCACGGCTTCCGACGATTCGTTTCTAGCTGGCGGCCGCACAACGATTGACGCCTCCGGGTTCAATGACTCCATTGGCGTGCAGACAGTGTTCAGTACTGGCAGTACGAGCGTCAGGTTACCGGTCCAACCGATCGATGAAGATGTTGGCTGATGGTCCGTGTTCCTGAGCCAGTCGTAGACACTGGTTACTTGCCCATCATCTGCGGAGGCCGTCTCGACTGACCCATTTGATAGGCCGAAGTCGGTATTGAGTGCAGTCCAGCGCTTTCATGAATCTCCGTCCAGCCGGTAATTATACACATGCCTCCAGCCTTTCTGCGTTTCCTTTACCGTGGACACAACATGCGTTAAGCCGGTGAACGCGAGAGAAGCGGACATGCCGAGCGCCCAGTCCCATGGTGGGTAGCCTTCCCCTCCAATATTGGATTGGCCGACACCGAGTATGTTTAGCCAGTCCACGCCGAGGAGTGATACTTTAGGATACTCAATCCTCATTGTCGTTCGGTCATGTGCCGTCGTTTTCCAACCGTTCTGGTAGTTAGGATACCAACGCTTCTTCGGTATAGCCACATTATTCACGGCCAAGCCTTGCAACATAACCGAGACAGATACGCAAAGACAAAGCAAACAGCGGGCAACGCTCTTCCAGCTCAAGCTAGACCTTCGCCACCTTGTGACAAAACTGCTGACAGTCATCCACGGCTTCGTCAACTCCTCTCTCAAACCAAAGTCGCTGTACTTCACACCACGCCTATCACCCACTACAGGCGTCTGAGCCATCCAGACTGTGATAAAGAATGAAGCCATATATTCTAAAGAGCTCACCAACAGGACATCGAGGCTTTTGTTAAAGAAACCAAGAAAGGCTAGCTTGAGATCCGCATCTACTTCTTCCCCGAATACACGGCTCAAGCCTATGGAGATGTATGTGCGCATCGCTCCGAGCGAGATTCCGCTGACTACGATTCCGATGGCAAACACACGAATGGCTAACATCCAATAGTCGGCGAATTTCAAGCCCGGTCGGGTCGCCACAGCTGGACGGTGTCTGACCTTAGCGTATATATTCTTGGCGACTACCACGAGTCTTTCTCTGATGGCATTGTCAGTTTGAACTAGAGGTGACCGCCAAGTAACTACTTCAAGGCTATCAGTATCGCTTTGTAGCCGCGCATCCTGCTGGACAGACTCTTAGCTGGGGCCTTAGGAGCCATGTTCTTAATCCGTGCACAAAACGGCGTTTCGTTGCTAAGCGCTAGTTGCAAGGCTGTTGGTTTTCGCAAACGATTCCAAGAAAGATCAGAGGCTTAAGGGCGGCTATATCTTCCATGGTAAGCATGCAAGGCTGAGATTGTGGCGAGGCTGAAAGATATGCATACGGCGTGGTGGCTGCATGCATGACAGCCACAAGCTGCACGACTGTCCTTATCTGTGCGACAAGACAAGCGCGACTTCCACGAATCACACCCTAGAGAGAGGTAAAAGCCTGGTTTCTCCACCATTGACAAGGTTCGAGGCGAAGAATATCAACCACATACAGGTACAAGAGCAACGCGTCATCCAAGCCAGCGGATACTACGACAAGCGACTACAGCTCTTTTGACGAGCTGCTGGACGCTTCGCAAGCTTCAAGAAGGCTGGGCTTGCCAGAGATGGACCCCCTTGGAGTGAAGTGTGAGCCGAGCATACTATAATCGCCTACATGCGTCTCTGCATCCTCGTCTCTTCAGCCAGCGGCTCCCACTTTCTTTGCGCAAACTCATGAACATCCGCCTCTAGTTCGTCGCACTCCATATAATGCTGCAGCAGTTCCCCGACTATTCACTTGCAACGGTTTACGGCGGTATCGGCGCTAGTGTTTTAATGTAGGAAACCATTCGCTACCTCCCACTCTCCCCACGTCACCTATCACAGCCGCGGCTGTTGAAGTCGCGTACCTAGCTTCCGTTACACAACTTCACGGAACACATTGGAGACGAGGCGGACGAAGCGGGTGGGGACAACATAGCTACAAAGGATTTAGTCCCATAGCTAGATTGCAACATATACACTAATAAAACGCAACATTCTAGACTTGCAAATACTGAGGGCGTATACAACTAACCATTAACACTAACCGTATCAATGCATACGTAATCCAACTTCCTTATTACGTCTTTCATAACTTCCTACTTACAAACCCCCTCTTCCCAAGACTACTGGCTACATCATAACCTAATCGGCCTTCTCCTCCGCAGCTTCTCTTCTTAGCTCCCTCACGATATCCATGAATTGACTGGCACTAATAGCAGTAAGGATGTGCCACCACCCATGCAACTCCAAGAATGAGGCCCATGGCATTCCAATCCGCTGCCTCAGCTTTCTGAGTTCTGCGCAATATTCGAGATCAATATTCCATAAGAGATAGCCAACCAAGAGCATTATCAATGCGTTTCTTCCTCGGGATCTCCAACCAGCCCGTTTAGCTATAGGAAGAGGTGGCTCGAGCCAATGAAACAGGTAATGACCGCGTATCACGATCAGGACTATAACGCTTGCAAATCCCGACACATGGTATATGATCTTTCCCGTCCACACATAGAAAACCGAGAAGAGGGGGAACACAGTTGCAAGACAGGCTTCAATGTACTTCTTGTTCGCTGACGACGTTCGTACTGTTGCGATACCCTGAAGCAGTGACCAAGCGAGTCCAAGCATCGAGATCTCATCCGCAAACTGAAGTGCTTGGCGTAGAGAGGCATGGAACAGGAATGACGATATTCCCAGCAATAGAAGGGAGATGGACATAAAGTCGACTCTTGGTTTGAGGAGTCCGCGGCTGCTTGAACCATACATGTATCGGAGTGCGAAATAAACTATTCACTGTCAGAAAGTGTCAAGCGCTTGCCGTTTAGATCTGTCGTATCGTTCGTTGGTGAAGATGGGTAGAATAATCTTCGCCGTAGTCTCCCGTGTTAAGAGACACTTGTCGACTCACCGTATAACAGATTCGTCAAAGAGTTAATGAATTCTGCTAGATAGCGCGTGACAGCATAATCCTCTTCACAAAAACTAATGAGTGCATCTTCATTAGCTCTGAAGTCGAGACTTCGGGATCGCTTGCGGCGTGCAGCTCACTTTGCAGTGCTGTCTGGAGGGCTCCACGCCCCTTGTAAGGCGTGGCGATCGCCGGCGAAATGACGATTATGATGACCCATTTTGCGGTCTTCAATGTACCTAGGTAGTAAACGCGGTGGATCTTCGCAGAGGTCGAAAGTCTGAAGAGGGAGGTTCAATCGGGCGCTAGGAATGACCTCGGGAGCTAAGATCTCTTTTGTGGAGAGCTTGGCAAACATCGCTGAGCAGCTCGAACCATCAGAATCCTGGATACGGATACATGCGCAGACACAACCAAGCTGCAATGTAAGTCAGGCAACTACATTTACAATTAGAAGTGTACCTCTCTAGTACTTTGCGCGGAACTAACGGTATATAGTATTTTGCAAAACCCCCCTGTACCATTACCGTCACCGTTGCCAGACAGCCCCCTCGTCCACGAATAACGCCGACCAACGCCTTCGCCGCGCACGCCCAGTACATCCTCTCAGAGACCATGCGTTGGTGCTACATACTTTTGGTGTAGGAAACAACGCCAAATGGCTGTAATAGTGGCTGTTTTCGTCACTTCCTGAGATGGGTGCTTATACAAGCTGTGTAAGAAAGGGAAGAGGGATTCCATGACATAGCACAGGAGACATTCGTCGACATTCGAGCCACAAGCGTACCTCGCGAGAATGTCTACGGAGGTGAAGACGAGATCGACTCTCCTCTGCGAGTTACCATACAACTTTGGCCGTCCACGAAACACACCACAAGAGTCGCTTCTGCGCGAATACTTCGTACGCAATCTCTACTCATATACTCTCGGGCTGAGTGGATATGTGAGCGGTTATCTTCTGCAGAGTCCTCGGATTCAGGCGGACAGACACTGCTCCAGCCGACACTTTGGATTCTTCCGAGCCCCAAGAGTGATCAGGTGCCCACAACAACGCATTTGATGGATTTGACACAGCTTGCGCAACGTCTGCGCGCCCAACGAGCACAAAAAATCTAGATTGTGCTGTCGTGGGTCGCATCACGATAGCCGCGCTGCAATTCCAGAATCTTACGATCACGTCGCCCACCCTGGTTTCAGGCGGGACAAGGCCCATGAGAAATGCTGTCCCAAGGCAGATCCGTGGGACCTTGTCGCTTGCAGTCGTAGCGACTTCTTGAGTTGCACGTTCCTCGGTCCGGTCGCCGTTACAGCCGGTAGTGCTGCTATCCTGGTCCAGTATCATGGGGTGTGCCAGAACATATCGGTCATTGATATAACGAATGCGATCCAGGTCTTCTTGTTCGTATCCCAATATCCTCGCTGTATACTCTTCGTTCATCCACCTCCATGTCTCCAGGCTTTGTCGATCGTATTGATCAACCCAGTAGCTAGTCCAGTGTTGGGCTGTCGAAGACGATCCAACCAGAGATATGTAATCCGGACCGAGGTGCTCGATCTCTCCCGCTATATATCCTATAGCTTCGATAGTCGAACTTCCCTCTGCGCACTAAGCAATGTTAGCAGGCGCCGGTTTCACATCCATTCTCTGCTGAACCTACCAATATATCGCCGTCGCTCGCCAACCCATCAACATTTTGGCCCAGCGCGCCTTGGACGATCCCTGCCGTCCGTACAACGCTGAGCTGCCTCTCGAGGTCCGAGCGTGATAATGTTACGTTTTCAATACCACTGAGGATTTTCACGATATCTTCCTGGAGGTCGGCGTTGTGTTCGAACGTCTTAGCCCGAAAGTAGACGAAACTGACCACATCAGTCCAGATTTTGTAGAACGAGCTCTTGTAATCAACTCTCAGGAACCCAATGCCTCGTCTGGACTCAGATGATGTCTGCGGGTCTGATTTGACCAACTCCATCTCGGCTGTCGGGGTATCTGCTCTTTTGTCACGACCCGCAAATGGTTGAATGTCGTTCGCGCATCCAAGCAGGCCGTACACCCTGTCTCTCAGCTCGGAGCAGTCGCTTTTTGCAAATCTTTCGACAAGACTTTCGAATCTCATCATGTCGGTGTGTCGCAGCTGTCTAATCTCCAGTAGTCTCGACGCAGCTCCAGGGGCATCTGGAGAAAAGGGCAAGGACTGCCTCAATGCCCATGTCTTGAAATCCTGATACGTCCAGATGTCGGATCCATACACGAATACCAGCACGCGTGGAAGACACATCTCCTGTACGATCCATACACGTCTCCAATACGTGCTTTCCAAGATGCGTACGAGTGTGCCTTGATCTGGCTTCGGCGAGTATCGCATCTGGTTCACACCAGCAAGAGAGGCGCCAAAATGATGCGTCTGTCCTGCCTTCCATTCAAGTGACATGGAACGAAATAAACCAGTCATAGGCGGGTAGTCCTTCGTTCCCAGCCATGCCACGACCTTCGTCGCTCGTGTATATATAAAAGACATCAACGAGACTTGATGGTTGCGCTCTTCCGTGTCCGCCTGGTTGATGCAAATTGCATCGATCCAAATGTTGATGGCATGCGATGGGGAACGAAGGTGTAGCAGCGCGAGCTGCAGGTTGTGGCCAATGCTGAAAGGACCTCCGTTGAGCACAATCTCATTGGGCTCAATCGGAGTAGGTGACAGCGTCGGGGCGCCCAACCTAAACAGTTTGTCGGTCATGTGTGGCTGAATTGATTTTGATGCGGCTTCTTCTGGTCCTGTAGACGCTCTATTCCTTGCCCGCACCGGTGATGGGCTGGGAGATCGAATCGGAGACCTGGAATCGTTGGGAGAGACTGGAAGATTGGCGTTTTCCGGGTACGAGTTTCGCCATGTATAGGAAAGCGCCACGTATTTTGGTCTGTCGCTGAACGATCTTGAGCTAAGTGTTGCCACGATGGGACTCATGAAATCTCCAGCCTCGATCTTCAGAATGCGAATCGCGTCTACGCCAACTGGAAGAGCAGGGTACACAAACGACATGATGTTGAATGCGGGAGTCTAGGCCAGGCGCAATACAACCACGGATGTATCTATGTGAACGGCTATGAGCGCTGATGGAGAACAACAATGTGACTTTAGGGGCGCAGGCTCATGCGCTTTGCTACGTCGCGATTGAGGTGGGGTAAGGCTGTGCGCTCGGTCGGCCATCCACGTGCTGCCCAATAGCAGGTTCGTTGCGCAGTGACGCACGAACGCCGCAGTGTAAACGTGGGGGCAGTCACCATACTCGATAAGAGGAACACGCATCATACAGGGATGGCATCATGCATCACTTTCCAAGGAACGAGGTGTGCCTTTACGAGGAAGAGACTCTGTCTGAAAAAGCCACCAGCAAAGAGGAACACAGGAAGTGCATTGCTAGCTGCTTTCTGTTCATCGAGCACTCCTCAACATCGCGTGTGTTAATACAGCTCTACATGCACGCCATCCATCGGATATACGCCTATAGTGTACGTCTGCCTTTCCGCCCCGACTGGCTCGTTCGAAACCCCAGAGGCAATCCGAATGTTTGGAACGTTCTGGAGGATTCTGATCACTGCATAGCTGGCTTCCATCAATGCGTAATCCTCTGTTCAGTATCAGTATTTGCAACTCGAAACTGCAGCGTTGTTCACTTACTTCCTAGGCAAAGTCTTGGGCCGCCATTGAAGTCGACGTATCCAGCGCCTGGGCGAGCCTTCTTGATCAACTCGCCACTCTCCCACCTTTCCGGTCGAAACACTCTTGCGTCTTGACCATAGATAGACTCAAGGCGGTGTAGGTGGTATACCGACCAGACGATTCCGGCGCCCTTAGGCATGAGGACGGGGGAGGTGCCATCCGGGCCTCCACCTCGGGGTAACACGGTAGCTTTGTTCGTAAAGCGGAGGTTCAGCGGCAATGTTGGGTACAATCGCAAGACTAGTTTCGTTAGTATGTGTTCAGCATTCAATAAGTTAACAGCACTAACTTTCATTGAAACAGCATCGGAGGAAGGGCAGTTTCTGAATCTGCTCACGTGTGACGTGTCCTTCGCTCGCAACGACGGAGATCTCTCTCTGCAGCCTTTCTAGAATGTCACGGTTTCGAACAAGATGGAAACTGATGATAGTTAGTCGAAGAGACTGAACATCCGAGACAACACCTACAAAGTCCAGCACAGCAAGCTAGCAGTAGAGTCCCTTCCAGCGACTAGGATATGGAGCAATTGATCGCGAACCAAGTCGAAATCTCGCATCTCCTTCCAAAGCTCAATGATAAAGGGATACTTCTCCGCCGCGGCTTCTTCACCATGTTCGTCCTTGTAGCTCATAGCCTTCGAGGCGAAGAAAGTTGCCCAATCACGTACAGCCTTGCAGGCCTTCCTAAACTTTGGCGGGTTGTAGAGGAAAGCAGCGTCGGCAAGCCTCACACGGATTCCGCACCCAAAGGAAGCTTTGTCAAAATTGTCCCGGACAGCGTCACCGGCCTCTTTCGGCATGCTACTGTGGGGTTCGCCGAAAAGGAGTGCTGTGGTGGTATTGAGGGTGTATTCGAACATGAGTGGTCTCAGATCTACGCGACCGTCAACAGCGGCCTCTGAGATGCCAGACAACAAGCCCTCTACGTGCGAAGTGAAAGCTTGAAGTGTCTGCTTCTGAACTCGCACGAACTGATGTCTAATCAGCTCGCGAGATCGTTTCCAGGCAGGTCCATCTTGCGAGAAGATGCCTTCACCAAGCAACGGATGGCTTGCTAGGCGGCGGCTTCCGAGACACCAGTCCTCGAACTTAGTCGACAGTATGGCTTCCACATTTTCCGGATCAGTCGTGAAGTATCCGGTTACGCCGAATGTGTGGATGCAGCAGGTCTTCGCGATACCGAAGTAGGGGGTAAGACCCTCGAGCGTGTGATCGCTGAACAAGATTTCGTAGTTCTTCTTAAGAAGATCTAGGGCTAGCGGCCATCGGTATGGTATGTATGGCTGAACGGGCTTACAGCCGTGTTGTTCTGCGATCGCGATTTCCAGCTACAGCTCAATAATGGCTTTTGTCAGTCAACTCCACAGATTGACATCGACCAAGGCCGGCTTACCTGCTTACGACCCTTCCGTTTGGAGTAGAAGTATCCACATAACGCTACCACAAGAGTTATCTCAAGCACGATCACTGATAAATGGCCAGCTGAGGCTGGGGTTTGTGGAGTGTGCATGCTTGTTAACAACGACGACAACGGCTGTAGAGAGACGGGCAGAATGGATCTGATTGCAAGAACAGGCTATCAGGCTCCTGTTTTACCGCAGTCCGGCCCGGCGACAGAACCTTGGAAGCCGTAAATGTGCCTGATCCAGCCTCACACATCAATGTAACCGAGCACAACATGATGATCCAATGAGACAACGAGGATAGGCGCCGTCTTTGTACTCAGCCAATCAACCTGCAACGTTCAGCGCATCCTTCCGCGGACCTCTCGGTGCCTTTTGCCTTTTTCGCACTTCCCGAGCCTTAACGGGATGTGAAGGAAGTGGCGGCACGCACTTGATCCGTGCCCAGGTGGGGGCCAGAGAACACTATCAGCCATGATATACCGTCTGCCGCCGGGGGGAAGTGCGGCACGTCCCACCCGCACCGATGTATCCATCATTCTCCACTTAGTTCACGGCCTGACGATGTTGGGTTTATTCGACAACCTCGGCGCTGGCATATTGCTGAAAAGCCTCCAGCCCACTCGGGGTGTACTCGAGGAACTGAACGTATCGGGCTCGGAGCCTGAAGTCGCCAGCCTCGTAGAGCTCATTAGCGATCTCACGGACATCGCTCAGTCGTTTGACAAACTCGCGACCAAAGAACGACGGCATCCTTCGATACATCTCAAGATCCAGTCGCAGAATGCGTCCAGCTTGCTTCACCTTCGCGCTATCCTCGATAGCACAGCAGCTATCATAGACGAATGTACACCCTTTATACGGCCACTCCAGCCAAGCCTCGAAGCCCTGAATCATGAGCGCCATATCACTGGCTATATTGAGGCTGAGAATCGTCTCGAATACCAAGCCTGGTACGCTGAGACGTATCAATCTCTGAACCTTTTCACGGAAATCTTGCGTGCATTGTTCACCGCCATCAATTTGTTACAGTATCAGAACGACACCGATGACGATATACAGTCGCTTAAGGAGCGATCGGTCACAGCAACTCAGCTGCACTACGAGATTACCCTAGTCGAGCAGAAGCTACACATCAGCGATCAACATGATACAGGCGCAGTAAGACCAAAACTAGCTGATTGATGCATGGGTATCAGCTAAATCATCACTACAGGTACGCGAAGCCTTAAGGGCGGCCAAAGCGGTCACAGTACACATCCCCCCTACACCAAATCAGCACTTCGTCATACAGAGACAAGTAAGAACATATTATACGGGAAGAGAAGGGCAATTAGCCAAGATAGAAGCTGCATTTCGCGATCCGACGTTACCCAAGCAACAGATCTTCGTCATTTACGGACTGAGTGGGTCTGGAAAGACAGAGCTGGCTTTGAGGTTTGCCGAAGAGCATAGAAACAAGTTCTGGGGAGTGTTCTACGTAGATGGCTCGTCGGAGAAGCATGCAGCTACCAGTTACTCGACGATTGCAACAATAGGCGGCGTCGCACCGAATGAAAAGGCTGCGAAAAACTGGTTGGTGACACGCGCTCTACCATGGCTCCTTATCATCGACAATGTAGACGAGGAAAAGATCAAAGTCAACGAGCTGCTTCCCCAGGGTGCAAAAGGCTGTTGTATAATCACGACGCGTAATCCAGCTCACGTCACCCACGGTAATGCCGGAGACAGGTACCTGGAATTGCTACCCATGGAGCCTGAAGAAGCAGAGAACCTCATCATCAAAGCCGCCGAAGAGCCGTTACCATGGCCTGTCAGAGTGATTGACTGTGCTAGACAGATATGCTCTGCTCTGGGGTTCTTACCGCTTGCTCTGGATCAAGCAGCTAGGGCTATACGATATGGCATCTGCGAATGGGCTGAGTACTTGGGATACTTTGACCGTCAAATACGAAGAATTCGACGAAACCTTCATGGCCGGGCAAGAAGCGGTTCTCGAGATCGTGATAAGACCCAAGAAGATGCGCATAGTATCAACGTCTTCTCTACGTATGAGATTCTTTACGAATCGCTACAGTCGTCACCAAAAGAGAGTTACAAGGACGCTATCGAGCTTCTACACGTTTTCTCCTACTTTCATTTCCAGAATATCCGACTCGATGTCCTCATCAGATCGGCAACAAATCCCCTGATCGAAGAGGAACAACAGAGGCAAGACGACAAGAAGATGGAAGAAGTGTTGAAGAAGCTACAAAAGCCACCAAAGAAACCGTGGATCATGTTCTTCCGAGAGCTGAGAGCCTTCGCCAAAATGCAAGTGGCTACACCCATGCCTCTTCCAGCTGTGCTCAAAAATCGAGACAGACTCGGCCTCAGCGCTTTGGAAGACGAAGTGGAAGTGCGGCTTCGCCAAGCACTAGGCGTACTCATCGAGAGATCACTAGTCATGCGGCAAGACAGAACAAACAGCCAGTTCAGCATGCATCGGCTGGTTCACAAGTGGGTTAGGGAGCGACCAGAGATGTCCACTTCGCACCAAGCACTGTGGTGTCAGATTTCCTTAACTACTCTCGCATTTAGCGTCTGCCGGCCCCCAAACGGCGATACAGAAGAGGAAAGTCGTGCGAGACGCGAGCTTTTGCCACATGTCCAGCACGTCTGTGGGCATCAAAAAGACATAGAAATTCGATTGGGGGAGAACGCGGCCGGAGTGAGACGCGTTTGGCCAGTGACCAAAAGCTACGGGAGACTTGAGGCCGAGCAAGACGTCCGCTTTGGCCGTGTCTATGGAGAAACAGGACATTTCGATAAGGCCAGACAACTCCAAGAGAGAGCGTCAGAGTTTGTCGCAAGCAGACTTGGTCCCGATCACCCTATAGCGGTAGGGCTGTCGCTCTTGGTGAGCCAGTCGTTGTGGGAAATGTCTGAGATGGACCGAGCGACAAAGCGTCAACGGCAAGCGCGTCAGCTTTGTATTGACACATGGGGCGAGGATCATCCTTTAACACTGGACATCACGGATCTTCTAGGATCAGCTCTCTACTTCAAAGGCAGGTGGACGGAAGCACAATCTCTGCACGTTCGCACGACGGAGATGATGACGAGACTCTACGGAGAGAAGCACGAGAAGACTCTCAAGTCAATTCGTAACACAGCCCGACTACATTACCGTTGGATGGATTACGAGAAGGCTACTGAACTCTTTCTCATGTCCTGGAATGGGATGAAAGAGCTTCGAGGCGAGACACATTTGGAGACTTTGTTCAGTCTCGAAGATCTAGCCATGAGCTATGTTCGATATGAAGAAGAAAACCCAGATCCAAGGCGAGAAACACACATAGCATTGGCCTACAAGTACATGACGATCGTATATGAAACAAGGAAACAACAGCTTGGACCGGAACATCACTGGACACTTCTCGCCGTACTTTACCTCGCTCGCGCTAAGTCAGAGATGGGTTTCCATCAAGAGGCGGAGACTATGATCAGGAACGGCCTCGAAACCGCTGAACGCAACATCCCCAAGGGGCACATTGCTTTTCTAATGGCACGAACCATTCACGCTCAGGTTCTTGTCAAGCTGAAAAAGTACGACGAAGCGGAAAGTATATTCTATACACTTGCCGACAAAGCTCCGTATAGTCGGCTTGCCGATGACGATGGTGACCATCCAGATCGACTTACAAACCTCTGGCTTCTTTTACGATGCCTGGAAGAGCAGGGTAAATATGAGGAGGAGCTCCGTGTGGGTGAGGACTTCTTGCTTGGCTTATCAACTATTGGCGGCCAGGGCGCTGGTATGAAGCACCGAATTCTGCGGAAAGTGGAAAAGAAGATACCTGAACTGCGCGAGCAGCTCAAAGCAGCTACATGTGGTTCACCATAGCTCTTGCGAGATGTATCTCCTCGACAATTGGCTCCTTAATTGTACTCTGGCTGAGCGCGACCACAGATGTTACCGACAGCTGTTTCGGGCGAAAAGTGCATTTCCTTTCCTGTTGTATCACTCGAAGCGATCATCTCTTCTATTACGTTCAATTCTAGCTTAATCTCACCAGTTAATTACACGTTAAAGTCCTTGCCTTGCAAGAAAGTCTAATCCTAGTTATGACTACTGTGTTAAGCTCATTGTCCTAGCTTTACGCTTATTCTCCTGTTGATGACCCCCTTTTATCTTGTCTAAACTGTCTAGTAATTTCTTAGTTGCTTTAGCATTGTACCAGGAAGGAGTACATCAGTCACGAAGCCGTCAGCATTGAATGAAGTATTCATATTTCTTCTTGAACCTGAACCAAACATGTCCGCCACCGACCCCCCGCAAAACCACCATCCCATGTCCAAATCCCCCACCGTCAAGCAGCCAACCTCATTAAGAAGCCAGCCGCGACATATAAAAAAAGAGATACCAGTAGACCCCATAATGACCAAGCCGCAGATGATGATCCTAACCCACATGCACGCCCGGATATTCGCCCATCGCCAATCATGCATCCCAGATAAAGACCTCCCTCCCACGTGTGAGAAGCCGAAGAGCCAAACAGCTGTCTTCAAAGTTGAAAAACTCCCAGATCATGCAAAAGCAAACGCCAAAGCAAGGCAAGATAGTACAGAACAAAGGAAAAAGACTCACACTCAGAAGAAGAGAATGGACGCCGCAACCAAGACGTTGCTGGCCAATTTGTTCCTTGGAACTTGCGATGAAGATCGCTCGCAAACTTTTCGTATGTCGCACCGCGTCGCAAGGTCTGCGGTTCGAGATATCGTTGATAGCACTTTTGGGTATGTTCGAGACTGCTAGCACTTCTCTCCAAGGAGGTCAGCTCACGCAACATCATCACAACAGCACTGCGTACCTGTTTTTCTTCAACCCCACCAAGAACGCCCATCAAGCAGCTTTCAGAGCCTGCGCGACCAAGACCGGGACCAAGATTGCAGTGACAAGGCCAACATTAACGACGATACCAGCAATGAGCGCCGTTCGCTTAGACTGTGGCGTGACGTGACCCAGATGGCCTTTGGTAAGCTCGGCGATGACCTTGTCTCCTATGAAACGGAACAGGATGATGCAGGGCGGCAGGAGGCAGAAGGCCATGAGGATGCACCATGA